TGTGTGTGTGTGTGTGTGTGTGTGTGTGTGTGTGTGTGTGTGATTTTATTTGCCCTGAGGTAGTGTATTGCCCTGCAGGAGGTTGTCATAGAACAGTAATTACTCCTATAGGACTTTGAAATGGAGGGTTGTAATTACATGATCTTTCAGCACATGATGGAGCTGAATTTTCCACTGGAAATGATGGGATGCTGGAGCAGCGAGGGGGAACGCATGGGGACATTTTGGAGGAGGGATCAGGAGGATAACTGCATTCAGCCAGAGTCTCATGGGAAACGCGCAGCCCTGTCATCAAACACTCATTCTGGCTGGGCCTCATCCCATTACAGTCCCCCAGGAGCTAAACAGCACCTGCCCCCACCGACCTCACTCCATCTCCCCCCACCACCACCCTTCACTCACCCACAGATTACACAACCAGACGAGCAGCACAATGACTAAGCCTGAGAGGCAGCAAAAAGAAAGCGTTGGTGTTTCAGGCAGCAGAGCGCTGAGCGACTTTCACCTGTGAAATCTGACAGGTTTTTGCTGCTGACAGCCACACGTCACAGGTGTAACAGCCATGACCACCACTGGCTGGTTAGGCAGGAGAAAACATGTTCCAGTTGAGCAGTGACACAATCATGTTTTCTGTCAAATTAAGAGGCAGCGGGAGCGTTAATGGCTTCCTTTCTCTGCAGGTTGGATGATCAGAAGAGAAACAGAGATTTATTGTACGTAATTGCTGCCAGTCTGCTGCTGGGGATGATTCAGACGTGGAGCTTCTTCCTGCGATCAAACCATCAGTCAGCACAGCTGAAGGTTTCTGCAGCCACACTGTCCATCAAGCAGAGGTCCTACACACCCACACTATATGTTCTGTCTCAAATTTTACTAAAATAACTAAAGAAATCACAGTTTCTGTGAAAATATAGTGTTAATGTTGAGTGATGGGTGACTGCTGAAAAAGCTAAACTGAGAAAAAAAGCAAAATGTTCAAATGCATTAAAGCTAGAAGTAGCAAAACACTAGCTAAAAGCAAATACAGTAGAAGCAATGCTAGATAAAAGCAAAAGGTAGCTAAATGCCACCTAAAACTACAAAACACTTGCTAAAATTAGCAAAACACCAACTAAAATCAGTAAAATTTTAGCTTAAATATAACAATCCATTTGAAAGGAGCATATTTCTAACTAAAAGCTTACAAAAAACATGCTGAAAGCTAAAAGAAGCAAAAGGTAACAAAAGCTAAATGTATCAAAGCTAAAAGTAGCAAAACGCTGGTTAAAACTACAAAACAATAGCTAAAAGAAAAAAATTGCTAAAATAGGCAAAACGCTAGATAAAAGCAGCATAAGGGGCCGGCTGTAGTGGAGTGGGGAGTCATGAGTAACTGGTAGGTTGCCGGTTTGATTTTCCATTCCAGCTGTCTCGGAAAGGCACTTCACCCGCCTTGCCTACTGATGGTGATCAGAGGGTCCAGTGGCACTGGTGCCTGGCAGCCCCACCTCTGTCAGTGTGCCCCAGGGCAGCTGTGGCTACAATGTAGCTTAGCACCATCAGTGTATGAGTGGGTGAAGTGTAAAGTGCTTTGTGGTCCATATGACCCTGATAAGGCGCTATATAATTCATGCCATTTACCAGCAAAAGCAGTAAAATATTAGTTTAAAGCTAAAAGTAACAAAAGGCTGAAAGTAGCAAATTTCTATCAAAAAGCTAAAGGAAACAAGAGGCAATAGTATCAAAAGACTAGCTAAAAGCTAAACGTAGAAGAATGATAAAGGCTAAAAGACACAAAAGAAAGAAGCCACAATTAGAAAAAGACTAAAAGCTAAAAGTAGAAATGGTCTAAGCTAAAAGTAGCACAAGAAGTCAAAAATAGAGCAATTATACTGAGAAGCTTTTAAAGAGAACAATGTGGAGAGAAATACACTCATAGTTGTGTTATTTTTCTTTTTCTTTCTTTCTTTTTGTATGATAAGGTAATCTTTGTTTTGTTTTGTCTTTCTTTCACACTAAGGTGCTGCAGTGTCACACTTTGATACACCAACATGATAGCTTTTTCATTGCAAATTAAATCCAAAGTCTCCGCAGTTGCAGACAGCGGTCCTGGTTTGTAGGGATGTTAAATCTAACAGGATTAACATTATTGTTCCTGTAAGTGTTCAAGGTCCAGTAATCTCTTCTGCTCCCCAGACAGAAACATGGTTTAAAAGTATGTCTCCGGTGTTGTGAAGAGTATACAGAAAAAAATTATCAAAACACAGGACAACACATGATTTTTTAGCTAATTTTTTTTATAAAAGCATATGAGTATTTTTGTAACACTTTTTGACATCAACATACCTCTTCATTAAACACAATAATAGAAGCCGTAAAATCACATTTATTTGTTAACATAAACTTCAGGCACAAAGCCATTATAGCATCTTTTGGTCATCTAAACATTCTTAAATATTCATTTATTTATTTTTAAACATTCTTGCAGTTTTCACACAGCAAATGAAGAATAACGTGTTTCAAAAGCAAATAAAGTCAAGTGGAAGAGCCATTTATAAATTCATGTGGTCCACTCAAGTGTTACAATATCAATGTGTCATGAAAAAGCACAGCTGGGAGTTTAAGAAGTGGGGTTCTGTGGAAAGATTATGAGCAGTTATTATCTTACCTGTTGTAGATAGCTTTTTGAACAAGTTCAGTTTGAAGAAATATGGTTTAATTCTGCTACAATCTCAAAAATTCAATTTATTACAATTCATGCAAACACTATTGTATAAACTCAGCACTATCACTTTTGCACTGCACAGTTATTACTTGTAATTTGATTATTTTTAACCACTAACAGAACCAGCAGCTAGCTGTAGCACTTCCTATGGGAAATGTATTTGTTGATACCAGAGTAAAGGTTTATAAAAAGTGCTTATGTATAACATTTTTGGTACTGTTATTGTTAAAATATGGCAGCTACTCAGAGCAAAAATTGTCTGGCCCACATAATGCACTAACATTTGGGATGCAGCAAAAAATGATGGGCCTTTGGTAGCCCAGATGTAGTTTGCCAGAGGTGGTCCATGTATGGCCCAGCACCACACAAACCAAACTACAACTGAGCCAGTTGTGGCATTGACCAATTTGGGCCACATGAACCAGGCATAGACAAATTTGGACTACAGTTAACGAACCACAACTGGCTCAGTTGTGGTGTGCCATCATTGCCGGACCTGGCTCACATTGGATTGACAAACCACTTGCCATGCCAGCAGCGCCAGCCTGACACCACATCTGGCCCACACCCATCTGCTATGTGTGTCACTTTGGTCTTGGCCCTGTTTGGATTGGCCTTTAGCTTGTCAATCTTGTCAGATTTTAACTGTATTTTTCAAAACTGAGGCCGTTCAACAAGCAAACTTCAACAGCTGAAAATACTAAACAGTACCTCACTTCAAAAGATCCTAACCATCCCTTTAAAGTACTTGTGATGCTCATGACAACAACCAAGAAACATCAAGATATCACAAACAACTAAGATGTTTGCATGTATTACTGCATTCCTCGCTGTTCAAAATGCAACATATCCTGCATCGTAAGCACTGAAGCTGACATTCCAGACACCAGGAATCTGTTGAAACACACACCTTAATGCGGATCATCACATGACTCCAAAACAAGTACAATCAGATACGGCAAGCTTAGTGTTTACTCTACAGAACAGAATGTTAACGGGTGGCAGCTGGTACACAGAATTTATTGCGATGCACACCAAAACACCAATGAACAATGTCTTCTGAGCCGTTGTCTTGCAAAACCGTTTTGATTTGTCTCTCGGCGCGACCTGATCAGGGAAAGTTCATTTTTTAAAGTTTTTTTGTGATGGCTGAAGACACTTACCCGAGGACGAAGCAGTTTGGCTGAGTGAAGACGGGTCGGTGACCGCGAGGCGGCTGCATCTGAAAAACATTGTTCTGAGCAAATTCATGCAACAAACACACACTAAAACTCTATGAGTCAACTTCACTCACGCTGTTTTTGTCTTGTATTTCTAGGCCTCACTGAAGAAGATGAAGACCTTTTTTGCAAAGCAGACGTCGTCTCCCTGAGGAGGTACTGTCCATGAAAAATATGGCCTTTTTATATTTAATGTTAACACAGATCAGTGACCCAAAATTTCACAATAGTCTCACAGAAACAGTATACAGATCTATACAGTACATAAAACACATTATATATTTTTTGTTTTTGGAACACTTATAGTTTCAGTGCAATTAGAATAGTATTTTAGAGAAAAAACCCTCTACATGATGGTCGACAGCAGCGTCGTCTGGCTCACGTTGTTCAAGTAGATCAATGAGGTTTGGGTGTCTAAGTCGTACAACAGACCTGCGGTGTTCTTTGCAAACACTTCCTGTATGTTTGGTGAAGCCCTACAGTGTGCAGATGTGAAGAGAAACACGACAATCTAATGAGGCTTTTTTTTCTTGAACTACTTCTTTACATTTCATCTGAAACTACTTGAACACACAGAATGAATTGAAGTATTTGTCTACGGTTTGTGCAATCTGCGATGGAGAGTCTGTTTTTTTTATACAGCAGGCTCACCACAGCTGTGTGGTCTAAGAGTAGCCACGCTGGGCGTACATCTTTCCTGCTGGCTCCTGAACATATTCCTCCGTCTTGTCCCAGTCCTGGACCCATCCTCCGTTCAGCTGAGCCGTGGCCCCGTAGCTCTTAGCCGGGCCGCCCATGGCGCCGTATCCCTGCGTGATGTCGCCCGTCTCCTCGGCGAGCTCATCCTCGTCGATGAAGCCGCACTTCTCCTCGCTGGTCTCTTCGGGGTCGGCCCACGGCTGCTTCTCCCCGGAGGCGAAGATCCCGTAAAATATCACGCCTCCGTAGTGCACGAGGGAGGCGATGAGGAAGACATACTGCCACTCTTCACGGGTCTGAGAACACAGAGAGAGGTGGAACAAGACTACGTATAAGATATCCACAGAGCAAAGAGGGTCTGGCCCAGTTCTGGCCCACACATTGCACTAACACTTGGTCTGGATATCGCTAAGAATGAAGGCCCTTTGATGGCCCAGATGTGGTTTAGCGGAGGTGATTCACATATGAACCAGCACCTCAAACCACAACTGGGCCAGCTGTGGCATGCCATCTTAAAAACAAGGCCATCGTTGCCAGACCTGGCCCACATCAACAAACTACTTGCCAGCTAGCCAGCCGTGCTAACATGACACCAGATCTGGCCCACACCTATATCTGCAATATAGGTACATGTGCTTGAAAATTTGTCATTTAAATGTTTTTTTTTTCTGTACAAATATAACTCAAAACATTACGAGTATTTCCCTGGGACATACCAGGGACAAACCAGGTACTCACCATATATAGCCCAAGTACAAGTCATGTATGTACCAGGCATAAATACCAGGTACATACCTGGAATGTACCAGATGCATACTTTATACCTACAAGATGTAGATGTGCTTGGTAAATTCTAAGTATGTGTCTTGCACCTGCCAAGTTCTTATGAAATACATTGGTAAGTACTGAGAATGTACCAGGCAGTTACCTTTTAAATACAAAGTACATACCAAGTTTGTAGGAATTTTTTACTGGTAAACAGGACATTTTCTTTTAAAGTATATCTTATAAACTATATAAAAAACTGCATTAGGTGAAAATCATTTCCAAAAAAGGAATGAATAGTTTTTGTAAAAACAAAAGTTATATTCCCAGAGGTTTCTAAATCCTATTGTTATTCCTATCCGAACAGACTAACCTTGTTCTTTGTCATTGCTCCAACTATAAGTGGACAGACCATCCCTGACAGAGTTCCCACTCCGTTTGAAATACCCATGAGAATGCTGGCATAGCGAGGAGCGATGTCCAGATGGTTCACATTGAAACCTGCAGCAAAATAAGTAAAGCTCATGAACTCTAAATGAAAAAAAAGAAGGGCATATCTTTTAAAAGATAATCAACTGTTTTAAGACTCACCTGATATTGCAAACCCACTAAAGCCCACTGCTAGGACTAGAAAAGAGATGGCTACCCCCTTACTGTGAGAGTAACCCACCACCAACAGGAGAGTCGCCTCCATTCCAAACCCTGAAAGCAGCCGAATGATAAGTAACAAATGAGAAACATTATGGAACATCACAAGGAACAGTAGGGGACCTGACGGCAGCCTCACCTCCACAGTTCATGATTTTACGGACCGTAGTGGTGGACATGATGTTGTGGGTCCGCAGGTAGTCGGCTAACTGGCCTCCTAAAGGCACAATGATGGTCATGACCAGGTGAGGAAGAGCAGACAGCGCTCCAACCTGAAAAAAATACATCAAACACGAGTCTGAAGCAACAAAGAAACATCATAACCATCTCAGAATAAATGTCAACCTCTGACTCCAGCGAGCCATAATTCACCACATAGAGTCCAATCTCATCGCGGGCCTGAATTACAGCCGTCAGTGAGACTTGAGTTATAGTTTCTACTCTCACTGGAGGGGAAACATCAGAACCTTTTATGATTACAGGAATTCTTTTTGTCTGGATAAAAAACTGTTTTCATGATGAGAGCTAATAAACCAAACAGGAACAGTTTCTGTAGGAAGTTTGCTCTCTAAGCCTTTATTTTTAAACTAGTTTCTAATGGGACAAATGTCCAGTGTTTTATGATTTTATGATGATTTATTTGTCAAACTTTTAATACTGTATCTGTTTATAGCTCATTCAGCAAAACTTGTTACAGTAAAATATTATTTTAAGTTATTTCTGTTTTTCTGTTAAAAAATGTATTTTGATCTGCAAAGTTTCCTAAATCATTGTTTGGGTAATAATGAGCCCTTTAATAATTCATACTATCCTGCTAGAGCTCATCCCATAATGCACGAGTGTCTTCTCATTCTGCTCACTGTCAATAGGTGTCAAGTGTGAAATTATGTAAAAGATTAAACAAATAATCCAATTCATCTATACTAAGAATGGCTATTTTTTATATTTTTGTCATCATCACCTTTTGTGTTTGACTCTGAAATGATCATTTTCACCTGACAACTAATTAAGAAAACAGAGAAATTTCTAATAAATTTTTATGCACACCAAGTCTTGTTCATATTTTATGTATCTGAGATTTTCTTTGTTTGTTCTGACAGAGCAGAGGTTGTTTTCAGAGCTAAAAATAGACATTTTGTCAGGAGTGTGTTTTTGTTTTTACCTTGCTAATTTCAAAGCCAAAGACTTCCTCAAAATATGCAGGCTGGCTGATGAGCAGCAGGTAAAACGTCCAGCTCCTACAAAAATTGGCCACAATGATTGCATAGACAGGCATGGAGGTGAAGAACTTCCTCCAGGGGGTCTTGAATTTCTGTTCAATTGTAAAAGTAAAACAGATATTAAAACAGAAAAAGTCAGCTAGATGTGACGTACCAACAGTAACATCACAAATCATGACAGGCTACTCACGTCCATCGCACCCATCAGTTTGGCGCTTTCACCGATGCTGTCCTCGATGTAACGGCGCTCCTCTTCGGTGATGGTCGGGTGCTCGGCTGGGCTCTCATACGACACCAAGATCCAGAACATGTACCAAACTATTCCAAACGATCCTGAAACAGAAGAGAAATAAAACATTTGTGTTACTGTAAAATACACCTGTTCAGACTTGTGTGCAAAAACTTTGAGCCAGTCCTCATTTTGCCTAATATTCTTCTTCTTCCAAGCAGCCCTTCCTCTAATCACATAAAGTGATGCTTTTTCATTCATTTTAACACAGTACCTGACTTTATTCAAAGAAAAATTTTCCGTTTATTAGACCTACGAAACATTTTAAGCATAAAAAGGCTCCCAAACTCCAGAAATGGATGTATCATATCAACTTAAAACAGAAAACCTTTCAAAATACCAACTTTAAATTAGAACTTGAATTACTTTAAAACCAGAAGTCTGTCATTATGACACAATTTGTTCCAATTCATTTTTGTTAGATCCAGGAAACATATCAGTTCTAACAGTTTGATATATAAAATTATGTTTTATCACTAACAAAGTGATTCTCAAGAGCTGTTGGCTGAAAGCTTGACAGTCAGATGAACTGAAAGATGATGAGTCTTTCAAACCTTTTTTTATTTCCCAAAGAAATAGACACAGTTCATAGTCACTTCTTTTATCCCCAACTTGTACGATTTATTTTTTTTTTTTCATTTTTTATGCAAAACTGCCCAACATGACATGGGGACAAAGAATGAACACAAAATGAAAGAAAAAAGCAGGAAATTTCAGAGAAAGTTGTCAAAAACCTTCAGGAAAAAAAGGAAGAATGTTGATCAAGACCACTTTAAAAGCTTTCAGAAAGCCTGGATCTGCTAAAGCAGCGATTTTCAAACTTTTTAGCTTCAGGCCTAAACTCATAACCCCACAGATATCACTGGTTTGCAAACTTTGCTAATAAGTAATAACTCTGTTAAACATGAGCATAATAAGCAAACCTTATGATACTACTTTCATTAATGTATTATTGTATTTTTTATTTTGTTTGCAATAATTATGGTGAAAATATTCCATTAACAAATTATTTGCATTAAATTGATGTCTGGACATTATCTAAACTGACCCCAACTTTGGTAACCCACTGCTCTAATGAAAAATATAAAGAGATTAGAAGTAGTTTAAAACAGGTACACAGTACTGTATAACTTTAAATTAATAATATTTGGGGTTGAGCGTAAATATTTCACCCACTCAGTAGTAGAATAAGACATAAAGGCACATATTTAGATATTGTGAAAGACTGTTTCGATGTGCAAGACCTAAAAGAAATGAAAACAAAATGTGAGTAAATGATAAAAATAATGACTGATCTGATTTCTGCAGATTGTTCAGTTTGTTTCGACAGTGTCACTTTGTCGCGTCAAAACTACAAAATGAGCAACATCCTTCGGAAACCACATTTACTTTAGTATTATTTCCTATTTTGTTTGTTACGGATTCTGATTTGAAGTTTGTAGCTGCCGTGATGCTCACCGTACACATAGAAGACTGAGGACCACCCTGTGTACTGCACCAGGACCCCAGCCAGAGGCATGGCCACCACTGCTCCGGCATACGACCCTGAACAAGACACAAATGGTGAGTAAGCAGAATATGATCCAGTTTGTTTACCCAGAGAGTAGCCTCGTCCCTCTGTTGATTATAAATGTGGTCAGCTCAGACAGCTTAGAGACGATATTAGCTTTACACTTGTTTCACTGTCTGAACCAAAGTGTGTAATAACATTTAACCCCAGCATGAGAGCATGTTCTGTACCACAGAAGGAGAGGGTTGCCAGACGACTCCTCTCCAGCGGCGGGGCCCATTTACTCCAGATCCCGTGGCAGGCTGGATAAGTCACACCCTGCACAACAATAACACAAACCCCAGTATTATCTGACATTGTTAAATTAATTTATCAACGTTTAATTACAAAGAGAATTTGTTTTATCTAGTTGGACACGCATGCGTCACTGCCTGACTGACGCAGTCTCTTCTCATTTGTCAAAGCCTCGCCGGACAAATTGAAGTTATTAACAAACAAAGTGACATGCACTGGAGCTGGCCCTTCTAATAGAGACTAATGGCTCGGGGTGTGAGTTAGTGCAAATTCAAGCTGACTCCCTCGTTTTGTGAAAAAAAGAAAAAAAATTCAACTGAACTGCTCCCTTTAAATCTTCATTAAACACTAAGTGGCACACAATCAGCTATTGATAGATTCAAATTGCTGGGGCTTGCAGTGGGAGACACCCTGAAATGCTAATGCTTAATTTGTAGTAATAAGTTGAGGTGCAGAACACAGGCAGCTCTTTCTCTCAATGGTCACGAGGAGCTATTGAAACGACCGTGTGCCGCTAAACACAACAACAAAAGAGGCTGACCTTCAGTCTGATAATAGCATCTCTTCCCTCCCTGAAACGAAGCCCCTTCTTGAGCTGTGGGAGCCGCCCGCATCAAGTGGTTTTTATCTCTTTTGTCCCTGCTACAGCCCTGCTATTCATGGTTTCATGCTTGTTTGTTGACCAATCTGTGTACAGTGTAATGAATGGGAGCCTCTTCATAACAGAACACTTTTTACCAGACAATTTCCAACAGAAAGCAGGAGAGGGTTTGTGTAAAACGTGGCGACGAAGAGAATGTCGAGGTGAGTTTAACCAGGGGTCAGCTCCAGCTCTCTGGCCCTGATAATGAGGCGTCGATTCAGAGTCTTTTTAAATGTCAGAAACTGATGAGCGAAACCGTGTGCATCCGTACCTCCACCAAGCCTTGTAATATCCTCAAACAGATTACGCATCCATAATGCACACGGGCGGCGGAGGGGATGAACATGTTCAGGATGGATGTCAGCACAATGGCAGCTCCGAAAACCCTGAGTAAACAACGAGGAGGACGTCAAAATACTGTCAAAACAAAATCATCTCATTGTGCAGAATGAGGGATGACAACAGTATTCACCAGTTAGAACATTAAGGACCCTAAAAATGTCATGTAGCATTTGGGACAAAAAGAATGAATAAACAGTCATAATGAAGGCAAAACAATCTTAATTGGACATGTAAACACGCAATACACATTATGATAAAGTACTATAAGATCAGTTTAAAAGACTAAACCAGATTTTAAGCAATAATCCATGTAATGAAGAGAATGAATGAATCCAGTAGACCTACTATAGATTTGATACAAACAATGCATCACAACCCCATGTAAAATACAATAAAACAGAATAAAGTATACATCAAGAGAAAAAAGATGGACCTGCTTCCTTCCATTTTTTTAAAATGAATCCAAAATATCCTGATTTCTGGGAGCTGCCATGTCGCCATTTTATTTATTTATTTATTTATTTATTTATTTATTTATTTATTTATTTGCAGGCTTAAAATAACTAGTTACAAGTAAACTGACGTGAAAAATTCATATCTAAAAATACAACAACAAAGTAAGAGCAATGTAAACCAACATCTGTATTTTGTGTATTTTTGACTTAGTTTCATGAGTTTCCATGAATTAGAACATATACTGCAGTCAGCCTACAGGGGGCGCTCATCCCACTTCAGCTCATGGAGGTACAACTGGAGGGAGTTTTGACCACGTGGTCATGTGATCTATTGTAGAAGGTATGGTGCTAAGCAGAAGGCAGGGGCTTGGATTTACCATTAGTGTACGTGTTGGAATATAGAGGGGGGAAGGACTGATGATAGTATTCATAAAAACTGTTAATAATAATATTGAAATCATTATTAATGTTTTAGAGTGTATTGGTTAATATAAATATGTACCAACAGATTACACAAGTAAGCAGATTTGATTTTATTTACCTCAATGTAGATGTTTGACCAGAACTGAAGCCAAAAATGTAAGTTTAAAATTAAAATAAGCTTCTGAAGCCGATGTATGTTGATATGATTTTAGACAAGATATGATAAATTATACAGTATTATGTAATGTGATGATATGACATGACACGATACAATCTAATGGCATCCTGACATCTGCATTTATACTCCATTGAATGTGTTACAGTTTACACTTCAAGTGAACTGTTTGTCAGTTTCGTGTTAAAGAGATTCATACAAGTTGAATGAAAATCTTATTGTTTTTTTTTTTATTATTTTAAAATGTTGCAACAGTTTCATGCCATATATTTCCCAGTCAGAGGGGCTGGGAGACACACCTTGTTCTAATTAAAGGACATGTGTTTTTAAAGTCGTTGTGTAATGTTTAACTTGTAACTCAGTACAATAATCTGTGGTATTGGCAAGTACCCAAACTGAAGTACCCAAACTTGTACTCAGTTTGAGAAAAACTGGCATGGACACCATGAATATGGTATGATATTATTTGACGTGACGTGATACAAAACAGTATGCTTCAGTGAGATACAACATAAAATATATATTTGTAAATATATATATATATAAACAGTTTTTGCACAACTCTTTCTTTCCAGTACTGTTATTATTATTATTTAGTTTCCAGGGTAGTAAGGAGGGGACGTGTTTCCTATCAGCTGACTTGACATGATGAAAGATTGGCATCAAATTTAGACTGAGCTCGTAAATTTAACATGTATAAAATATAAAATCATTTATTGTCTCTCATCTACTTATACGTAAATGTCCTTTCAACTTCACAAAGGGATCCTCTAAAAAAAAACTGTTGTTTTTCTATTTAAAGACTTCCTGTTCTTTGTTTCATGTTTGCTCCAAATGGTGAGCTATTTTTGGTCAGTGACGTCCCACAATCATCACCTAGAAGCAGGTTTCACACAAGGCTTTGGCTGCTGGTGGTTGCCATGCAGCTCAACATAAAGGATTAGACACGGTGGTCCCAAAGGGGCTCATTAACATGAGGAGGCACGCCTGGCGGGCATGAGCCAAATCCCCACTACCACCACCACCACCCCTTTTCATCTGCTGCTTTCTCCAAGCCTCATGTTCATATATATATATATATATATATATATATATTACTGTCAAACAGGAACAAAGCATTGCACTTCTCTTTTTAAACAAAAAAAATAAAAAATAAACAGGGTTTTTACCTGTTTGCAGCCAGTCTGGAGGAGATGTATCCCCCCGGAATCTGAGTGACAATGTAACCCCAGAAGAAGGAGCCGTGAATCATCCCCACTGTCTCTGGGTCCCAGTTGAATTTAGCTTTCTTCAAGACACATGAAAGTATATTTTAAAAATCATTTATTGTAATTCTTTTGTAATAAAAATAAGTGATTGTTCAATTGTTTGTCTTTTAGATTTTGATTTAATATTTTATATCTTTGGCAGATTTTTGGTCAAATCTGTAGTTTTCAAAAGTAGAAATTGGGACCTGATGTGTTTCACAAATTCAGGGTCTTGACAACCAAACTAACTTTATAATTGTTGTTTTAAAAAATCAATACGTCATAAATTAAAAAAGTTAACAGTACAAAAAAGTTTTAAAAGTTTGGGTTGAATTTTTCTTTGTTAAAACAATACTTCTAATAAATCTTAGGAAATCGATTTGTAGTTTAACCACAGAGTTGAGTTTAGGGGATTTTCGTCCATGAAAAACAGAAATCATTTCTGCTTAACTTTTATTTTGAGCTCTGAACACCTGGATCAGCTCAGACTTGCTTTTCATTTGTGCGACCAAAACAACAACTGCTGACAACGAATGAGACGCCATCCCCAGTGCAATGTGAGGAGGAGGTGTCCTGTGGTGGCTGTGTATGGTTCTTCCACATGCTACTTAGATCCTCGTTTGTTAAATGAATACATTGTTAAATCACCAGTATGTCGTCTTTAATCATCCTAATAAATACCAACAATAAAGAGTTAATAGCAGAAAAAAAATGTTTGGTTTGGCAAAGTTTTAACTCAACCCTGTTGCTCAACCAACACATGCATGTTCCTCCATTTAAGTAAAAATAAACAGGCTTAAGGCTTTCCAAACCAAAATGTATTTACTATTTTTTGTGCTAATGAATTCAATCAAGTATTTTTTATTGTTATTTTGGGGGGTCAGTAGTTAAAAGGTTATAGAGTCAAACTAAATAATATTACAGTATAAAAATACATTTTAATTCAGCTCTGCAAATATATCAGCTGCATTGTTTTGTGTCACTATATGGTGGTGTTTGGGCTCATGAGGCCCTCATCAGGGGTGTGTGTGTGTGTGTGTGGGGGGGGGGGGATGAAGATGAAGGCGGGTTTTTTTTAGGCACCTCTTTGATGATGATCTTGCCGTTCAGATGGATCGTGCTGTTGTTAACCATGCTGACGATGGCCACACCCAGGTTGCAGCGGATCCCGAAAGAGATGCAGAAGCCCAGCCCGCTCAGCATGGCGATGATGTATCTGCGCGGGAGCCCGAAGCACGTGCAGTCACACATGGGGGGCTGGCGCTCCTGTTCCTCCCGGGGTCTCCCGTCCTCCGTCAGCTCGATAACCTCACCTGTTTGCTGCCGCTTCTCCATCCTCCTGCAGCCCGAACCGAGCCGAGCCGAGACACGGGGAGAGAAATCTGTTTCAGCTGATTTTCATCTTTAAACCAAAAAAGTCGGATTTTATTTTTTTTTACTGCATTTGCAAATGGAAATTTGTTTCGTTTTTTTTTTTTACAAAATAAAATGCACAAATGAATCATGTGCAGCACACATATTTTTAAATAGCCTCTAAACGACGCATTCTTATAGTTCTTTTTTATTCATTGTCGTCTTTTATGGGTGTTTTTTACGCGCAAACCTCTAAAACATTAAATCATAACGATTAAAAATGGATTCCCTCATTTTTTGGCTCCTGTAAGTAAAGGGAGACTGAGAACAAAAAAGGAGAAAAGAATGACCTTCATTCCGCATTGCAGCAGCAGCATCTTCACAATCATTTACAGCTTTGAAATTGTATTTTTTTAACTGTTTAAATGATCTCTTAGAAATAAGCTTTTTATCTTTTTGCGATTTGAAAACAAAAATATGAATTCATTTCTAAACACGAGCTAGGCCTGTGTGGACCAACGGGGCCTGCTGCTGCTGGATTTAACCATCAGACTTATTTATTATTTATTGATTTATTTATATATATTTTGGACATGAGTCACGTTTCTGCGCTTCCAACTCAACATCTGGATCCAGCTTCAGAGGCCAAAAAAACTGAACGAACGACGTGGATATTTGTAAAAGGTCACGTTGAAATTGTGGATTAAACGCTTCTTTTAAACAAAAAACGGATATTTTCGTTTGTCAACTGAAAAAAAAATCAACAGTTTGAGTAGCATTTTACATGAAAACTTTTAAACATTTTAATTTTTACGCAGCCATAAAATAAAAGCTCACTGAAGAGTTTCTGCTATCATTTGAACATATCTGGATTTGGGTTTTATTTGAACCTTTACGTCTCTAAAAGAACTAATGTGAAGTCTGTTGGTCCCAGATTCATTGAGACGGATTCATGAGGTCCTCGGACCTGATGTCACGACTCGTTCTGTTTCATTAATTATTAAAAACACCCCCAGCTGCTAGTGGATTGGGGGGGGGGGGGGCGTCCTCCAGGGAAATATGTGATCCTAAAATATTCGGACTCGTGACTTTACAATCCCGTCCTTAATTTGTCACATACAGAAGATATTTTTTGCGTAATATTCGTGCGTAAAAATGGAGCGTTTTTAAGGCCGGGGTACGTTCATCACGCTTTAGAACATCAGCAGTGATTCCTTCTGGTCTTACCTGTACAGACCCCCCAAGGCCTTTCCTGCAGTTTGTTTGAGCCCATCTTTTATCCGATCTTTGTTAATCTCCATGTCCAAGTTTGAGTTTTGCCTTTTTTCTAAAAATAATTTAAAAAATCAATTCAATTAAAAAAAATGAAATCCTTATAGTGCAGCAATAAAAAACATATTTGTCCAAAAATTAATCCAAACGTTGCGCCTCTGCTTTCTTTAAGAAAACGCCTCGACGTCCTGATAAGATGGAACAAGAAGAAAAAAGAGAGAGAGAGAGAGAAAAGGAGGGGGGTGGAGAGGGGGTTCAGTCTGAAAGAGCTGCTTCCACAAAACAGCAGCAGCCAGAAAACTCCGCGTTTGCCTTGCACGATCCGTGCAGAGCCATTTTACAGATCAAGAAAACCTGAAGAAAGACATGATAATAAAAAGATTTTCTTTCTCTGAATCTCTTAAGATGTGAGGGCGAGCTTGAAGCCGGTGGAGGCTCGGCGGATTTCCGCTCTGATCTGAGGTGTGCGGCAGCGGCAGCAGCTTTCAGCACCGCGGAGAGCGCGCGCGGCTCCGTGAGCCCCCCTCACCTCAACTTCCTCCTCCTCTTCCTCCTCCTCCTCCCCCCAACTCCTCTAATTCAATTACAACTTCAAGCTGGATGGCATTTCTGTCCCTCACTGATCTCCGACTGAACTGAAAATCATGTCAGACTGAATTCGAAGTAAATCTAAATCAGTCGCTGCAAGAAGAGAAAATAAAAAAGTGGATATTTTTACGCGCGCGCATTGGCCACGTTCTGGTATTTCTCTGCGTAATGTATGAAAATGTAGGGCTTAGAGATTTAAAAAAGGTAGGAACGTGAAAATAGAAATGTTATAGGCTATGTTTAACAATTTTTTGTTATTTTCGGCTACTAAAGTGTTTTGGTGCGTAAAACACGTGCAGATCTCTGGTAAATACTCCTGAATGGGGGTTTATAGCTGCATTTTCCCCCCTCCTGTATGTATCATAACACGACCAGAGAAAGAACATTATGCTTCCAGATGCTCATTCATGCCGGATGGAGGCGGCCAGCGCGCGCACAGGTGTAGAAATCTTTTCTTCTGGCTTCTGATCTGCGCATGCGCACTAGTTCCTGCCTAAGGGAGACGGTCACAAGTGCCGTGAATCTCGTACCTAAACTGGAGGCCTGAACAGCTGATCAGAGAGTTACTGTAGAGGGATGAGACTGCAAAAACCTAAACCCTCCCCCGAAGATGGATCTGTGAGACTGTCAGGGACAGGTGGGACAGGGACAGGTGGGACAGGGACACTCAGCACCCTAATCTGGCTGCACTGTGCAGAGGAAGATTCTCACATTCTCTTTCAGATGTTTTATTTTATTTTGCTATGAAGTAAGGCCAATGAGCAGGAGGCTGTGGGTCTATCCCTGACTGGTGGTCAGAGTAGGAGAGGGAGGGGTTTGAGGGGATAACCACCCCAAGGAAAAATGAGAATATTAAACCAAAGAAAAGGTTGCAGAAAGCATTGTGCTATTTGAGATTAGAGATTTCATAAGCAGGAGGACCATATCACAGAACAGCTAAATTTTTAGTTAAAGGGGACATATGCAAAATCCAAATTTTATTTGCCAAATTCTTTTTTTTTTTTTTTTTTTTTTTTTTGTTGGAGTCTCTACGAGTTCAGACAATTTGAATTTAGTCTCTCCCAATGCTGCATAGATATCTTTATCAGTTTGGGTCATAGTTGTCAACCCTTTCCGTTTCTATATTTTTTATGATGTTTTCTGAACTATTGTCACAGTATTTGCAATAGAACTGCCAAATAAGGTCTGGACTTACCAACTACAATTTCATCGTCTTCATTCTCCTCTGGCTCTGGGTCAGACTCTGGCTCCAACATGGACAAACCTTCCCTTGTTGACATCTTTTAATTCGTTTGTAAATAAAAGTTTCTGCACTGCTATGTAAAACCATCAATCAAGAATGGATTGCTCTGGAAGCTGGAGCGGGGCGGAGTGTGAAGCACCTTCGTTAGATTTAAAGAGACAGCCTCAAAGCGAGTTGATCTGACACACATCAGAAGAGGTATGAGGGGTTTGTAGAGTTACAATAAGGAGGAATTTAGACTAAAGCATTGCAGTTCCACTTTATATAAACCCTAACTGAATGGTTTAAAAGGATGATAGTTGCTCTTTTAAGCTTTTGTTTTTAGTGCAACTGTGAGTCAAATATTATTTAATATTGTAATAACTCAAAGTTTTAAATTCCAGTGTACAACCTTCCTGAATCTGAGTGTTATCTGTGTTTTTATGTTAATGACCACACTTGATATGCCAGGAAAAAAAAACTCTGCCAGAATATTTGGGTGAGAACCACACCCACCAGTGTGAACAAACACTGAATAGTTATGAGCATCATTTTTCTTTTCCTGGCCATCTGTTCTATGAGGAGAGCTGAAGGCTCCACAATTCATCCAAAACACATTAAACTATAGCTGCACACGGTTGATCTCTTGGTTTAATTAGATTTATTTTTGATGGCATCATAATTTTCGAGATAGGACAATTACAAAAACACAAATGAATAAAAACAATTTCACTTTGAGCAAACAATAAACAGGTTCATCTCTTTCAGCTCAAATTTTTAGATTGTATCTAAAATATAACAGCAGTGAACATTGTGAAAAAAAGAGAACTTGAAAAAATCGTAATAAAAAAACATAGGTTGAGCTAAGGCAAAGTGGAACAGTGAGATACACGGACACATAAACATGACAGTTATCACAATTAGTCAGCATCTCTACATAATATCCTTCATTAACCTTCCACACAAAAAATGAAAGTGATGTGGAAACTCCTTCATATTATTAAAAAATACAGCCAATCTTTTTTTTTATTCTAAAACATAAATAAAACATCAATCCCTACAATTCTTGTTCCATCTATCTGTAAAGTTGTCATCGCACTCTGCTGCTGTAATAAACACTGTAAAGATAGTGTCATCGCCTCAATTAGTCGTTCATCTTTTTGTGATTCTTTAAGTGCTTTGTGCAAAATCAAACAAACAAAAAATTGTGTCTTTTATTGTCTACAAAGACACGACTGAGGAAACCAGGAGAACAGGAGCTAACATAGTTCAGTTGGAGGGAGTTGGAAAACACAAGAACACCCATAAAAAAAGGAAAAACAAAAGGGGGGGGGCATTCGCCTCTCATCTCCGGGTAAACAGTCGACAGCCGCCGCTGAACAACTGGCCACGACTGTACGAAACCCGTCCCTTTCACAGTGGGAACAAGAGCACAGATTTCTCTTCACTAAACAAAAGTAGCTACTTCACATGTCAGGTTATGGTCAGATGAAACAGATGAATCGAAGCGCATGCTTTGTGACCTCAAAGCAGATAAAGAATCAACGCGCAGACTTCCTGCTGCACCTGTAAAAACATAAAGTTGAACATGAACTGAACCTCTGACAACAAGCACAGAAAGTACAAAAAAAATGTGACTTATTAAGGCATTAAGTCTTTGGTTACTCATAGTGGCACTTAAAATAAATAGTTTTATGTTACAAAAAAGAAAAAAAATGGAGTGAGCTACAGTATTTTGTTTTTTTAGACACAGTGAAGAAGATTTCCTTTTCTTTTACAGCAAAGTTTGAATATCTTCAGTTGAATGTTAGAGTAAAGAGACTGACGAGTGGTAAATATGAGAGAGACGTTTAGATTCAAGTGTCTCAAAGTGTCAGCATGCACACAGGTTTGGTCTTTCAGCCTTCCCACAGTCAGCAGATAAATGGAAGTGGTATGGCTTCTTAAAAATCACCTGTGGGTTTGTACTCGACAAATAACCCAGTCTATCTTGTGTATCAGAAAACCCAAGCGGGGGGGGGAAATCCACGTCACCGTGTCCGACTCCCTGACCTAAATGTCTGGAAGCATCTCGTGTGTGGGTAAGATCGGGTAGATCCCCGGTGTGCAGGTACACTCGTGGTTGCCTTGTTGGCTGAGTTGGATCTTCAGCTTCTCAACTTCGTAGTCGTGGAGATTCTTCTGGACCAGGTAGCGCTCTCTCTTTATTCGTGCCCGGACATCTGCGGGAACGTCGGGAATCAACCAGGCCACGAAGTATTTGACCATAAACACAACATGCTGTGGAGGAAGAAGAAAGCCACGACTGATTCATCTGTGCAGACTGCAAAACTACAATCAGTTGACCGTTTGCTACAACATCCTGGTAATGTTAAACTCAAACATGGTTATTATAAAGAAGGCATAAATTAAAAAGTGAAGAGGAAGAGATATTAGGGACTGTAACAAAACTGTCCTTATAAAAGAAACGAGATTTGAGAATTTAACCTGGTAAAAGCTGATGCCAAAATGTTCAGACAAAGCAAGAAACTGAAACAAATTTATTTCCTTTAGCTGCATTTGAGGCCACAGCACACCATGTCCTGAACACTGTGCACATGCGCCCTCTACTGGCTTTATCAAATGTTGCATTTTGTACAACGCATGTGATGGTCTATCCTTATGTCATTTGTGTGAAACAGCAGTGTTGGACATATTTCTTCTGATTCTTTCTAATTAATATTAAATTAAAACTAAAACCTAAAGTGAAAACAAAGAAATGAAGTAACAACATTAGTCAACAGAGCAGTGATGTTCAAACTTTTGACTGACACTTCTCATGAAAATCCAAGACATTTATTTATTTATTTATTTATTTATTTATTTATTTGTTTGTTTGTTTGGTCCTTTATTCACAGCTACACACAGGAAATGTGTGAAGCTGAATTCAGATGATGAGACAGATATGAAAAGACAACTTTCAGCTCTTATTTTTTTACCTCCATAATAATGATGAAAGCCAACTTAGCAGCCAAAATGTGCCAAAACTGCATCGTGTGGGAGTACTGCTTCTCGTGCCCGGGGGGGTAGCGGTAATCCCGATACCTACAGTGGAAAAACAGATAGATGAGAAGTCAGGTTTATCCAGAATCATATACAGATAGGATGGGATAAAAAAATCAGGACTGTTATTGTTGTGTAGTGGAAAGATTAAGTTAAATCCTTCTGGAAACAATATGAGGAATCTGTGAATATTTCCACACAGAAACAAACTGATCAATAACTGATCTCAGCAAACTCATTTTATTGCTTGATGTGACAATTTAACATCAGAGCAGATCAGGTGATCAGCTAAAACAACACAGTGAATTATGGTCAATTAGGTTCTGCACTAGGCTATTCTGCACACACACACACAAAGGTCTGGTTTGTATATCCCTGTGGGGAACGTGCATTGACTTCCATTTATTTTTTGGAAATTTTGTAGCCTAACCCTGACCGTTTACCCTAAAATTAACCCCACCTGACCCTAAAACTAACCTAAACTTAATTCACTCCTTGGTCCTAAACCGAACCCCTGACCCACCAATGGCATTTCCCAAATGAGGACTGGGCTTTTGTCCCCATAGAGAACAGTGTCCTCACCAGGCTGTGTATACCATGTCCCCACCAAGTAACAAAAACATGTGCATGCACACACACACACGGAGGACCTTTGAATACTACTGCTTTTAAAACTGAAACTAAGATGTCATAAAAAAGCTCCAATTGCACAGCATTTAAACTATAGTAACATCTGCTCCACCAATCCAGTTTCAATAAAGCAAATCTGTTGCCTAAATTACTTTTACAGTATAATCTGAAAGTTCTCTTCTGCAGCAGTTACCAGGACAAAGAAGAGAAGAGATGAGTCATTTCTCCTGTCTCACCTGCAGGTCGTGATGGAGTCGTTAAACCAGGATGGGTTCTCCCCGTTCTCAGGGCTGTTCTCTGGTGGGATCGCAGAGATGTTAAACACAGACAGGCTGTTGTTTATGTAGCCTTTCATGTTCATCTCCCCATCTGGCTGGTAGGCATACATGTACACTAACCGAGGGATCATATCAGAGGTGAAGGCCACAATGAACGCCTACAGGCAAAAAGATAAACATTGGGTTAGTAAAACCAACAGTGATCTGAAATTCAATTCTGGGCCAAGTTCAGCGCTCACATTTGTGACGACGGAGAACACGGCGATCCCGTTGAGGATTTCCTGCCAGGCTCCGATGCTGTGGGCCTTGGCTGCCACGGGACGTCTGAACTGAGTGGTGAGCTTCCAGGCGTCCACTCGCACTTCGATGACGTTGTTGATGAGAGCCAGGAGGGGCGCCAGGGGGAAGGACGCCACGAAGAGAGTGATGAAACCAAACTGGATCACTGGGACGCAGAGAGAGGAGAGATGCTGGATGGTGAGAGAACACAAGCAAACAGCACCACCTGCAGGACATAATCTATCAACAATCCATTTTCAGCAGATCTACGACCTACTCTTTTGGTGTAGATCAGGTCAGAACTAAACACTAAATTCCATCTAGTTTTGATAGTTTGGAATCTCAAAAAAAACTGATCAAAAAATTATAGATTTTAATTGTGTTTTTTATGAATAATCAGCTGACTGAGCCCAATTTTTACCCATTTCCAGGTACTCGTCGAAGAGGCCCAGCTGCCCAAAGCCCTGCAGATCGTGGTCCTGCTCCCAGCGGCTGTACAGACTCTCTGGGTGCTTCCGTGCCTTCCTGCTGCCCCACCAGTTCATCAGCCACCTGGAGGAAACCAGAGGGCGACTCAGGAAACTTTCACAACACTAAACACTGAGACAAACTGTAAACAAAGATCAATTTATGTATAAAACATAGCACATTCACATTTTACCTATCCTACCTGCCTATCTGTTTATTATGTTCATAGAAATACGGAAACATTTAATCTGTACTTGCTGTTTATGACACATTCCCATGTACTTGTACATGTGTATTGACAGAGTTTAATCTAATTTGATGGAACTGACAAAGAAGAAATAATGCATATTGTAAAAAATCTTGCAGATAAAAGATCAAAAGATTGTGTGGACATGGACATTATGTTTGTCAAGGAAATAATGAGTTATGTTATTGAGCCATTTGCATATCTTTTTCAACCGGTGTATTTCCAGACAACATGAAGATAGCTAAGGTAGTCCCTCTTTATAAGAATGGTGAGAAATATATGTTTAACAATTACCGACCAATATCCTTGTTACCACAGTTTTCAAAGATTCTATAGAAATTATTTGTGATTAAATTAGATAAGTTTATTGATAAATAAAACATTCTAAGTAACAGTCAGTATGGGTTTAAAACTAATGAGCCCCATGCAAGAACATGTTTGTATTCTTATCCTAAATTTCTCTTACTTTTGTTCGTACAAAGGGTTCGTACGAACATGCCACGTCAGATTCAACAAACTCTTCTATCTTCAGGAAAAGTGTGTAAATGAGCTGCGTAAATTCAACCTGTTCGTATCCAGCTCCTCGTGCACGCGAGAGGAGATTAGCATAATTACCAYCCCAAAAACACCATATAAGGCTATGTTTCCTGCCTCAGATATCAGGAAGTGTCCATTCATTCATGAAAAATGACAGCGAAAACTAAAAAGAAGAACTTTACGAGTTCAGAGATTGAAGTCCGTCTGTCAGAGATCCAGAAAAGAAAATCTGTCATTTTTAGCAGGTCAGCTGTGGAATAAAAAGAGCTGCTAAAAGTATAAACAACTGTGTTAAATCATTTTCATTTATTCAGAAGCCACAGCGCTGCGCACCATACAAATAAATGATGTAAGATCTGAACTTAGCAATATCATATGTGGAGTTCCACAGAGTTCTGTACTTGGACCAAAGTTATTTATTTTGTATGTAAATGATCTGGTTAATGTGTCATGGGTGTTTAAATGTGTTTTATTTGAAGATGACATTATTTTTTTTGTTTGGGTAATGATATACAACGGATGAGGGAAATAATGCAAACAGAATTTGTAAAAATACAAACCTGGTTTAAACTTAATAAACTGTCACTAAATTTAGATAAAACTAATTATATGATATTTAGTAAAAAAAAAAAAAAAAGAGAGAGAACTGTAGATGTTACATTCAGAATTGATGGTGTTGAGATTTGTAGAGTCAGTGAAGTGAAGTTTTTGGGTGTCATTATTGATGAAAAGCTGACATGGAAATCTCACATAAACCATTTAAAATCAAAAATAGCCAAATCCATTGCAGTATTATACAAAGTAAGGGACTTATTTAACGATAAAGCACTGTTTATATTATATAATGCAATAATTGTTCCGCACTTGATTTAATGTGTTGAAGTCTGGGGTAAACAATCACAAATCCTATTTTTATTTTACAGAAAAGAGCCGTCAGAATTACCACCAGAAAACATTACAGTCATCCATCGAATATATTATTTTCTAAATTGAAATTATTAAAATTTTACGAGTTGGTTGATTATAATATCTTGCAGATTATGTTCAAGGCTCAAAAAATTACCTTTAAACATTCAGTTATATTTTATTAAGAGAGAAAGTTTATATAATCTTAAGGGACTTGAGATGTTTATAAAACCTAAAATTTGAACAAATTTGAAGGACCGATGCACTTCAGTTCAAGGAATAAGATTGTGGAATAATCTGGAAAGTGATTATAAAAATGTTGGTTCAATGTGTTTGTTTAAGAAAATGATTAAAATAAGTTTGTTAAAGAAATATGAAACTGTATAATGTATATCAAAAGTTGTTGTTTGAAAAGGAATTGAATTTTTTAATTTTTTTATTATTCTTTGAAATTAATTTTGGAAAAAAGGGGAAGATATTATAAGATTTTGTTTCTTCTTTCTGCCTCCTTTCATTTGAAGTGAGTTTTTTCTTTATTGTATATAAAATATTTTATTTTTATATGAAATGAATAAATGACTATTAAAAAAAATTTAATCTCAATATAAAATTATAATGTAATGTTTTTGTACTCACGGCAACAGAGCTTCCTGAATGTTGCCCCACACCTGTTTTCCAGTCATCACGATCACCAGCTGGGTCGTTAGCTCGATCAGACAGCCGCCGGGGTCACACTAAAAACACACAGGCAGAGACAAACAAGACGGACACCAACATTAACTAAAATATGAGCTGAATCTGAACCACAGAAACAAATCTTGTGCTCCATCAGGCATGCAGTACCTCTTCATTCCTCAGTTTGCTCCACTTGCCAAACATATAAGCATAATCTCCAGGATAGCCGACAAACTTGCCCTTAAAAAAAGCCACGTAGAAGCACGACGAGTAGTAGTTGACAAACTGGAAAAGGAACATCTTGACCGTCAGTTTGTTCTCATACTCCACATGGGTCTTTGGGATTTCTGTAAAACAGGTCATAAAATTGATTTTACATGTATTTTCACAACGTGACATTCTCAAGAAGCGTCGCTTTCGGATCTGTTGTGAAGCTGCAGCGCTCACCCATGTCTGTGATCCAAATAGCCACTTTCTCATACATGAGGTTGAGGATCATGATGATGACAAAGTTGATGCAAGAGGCTGTGACAGAGGTGGCCAGCTGGGGTGTGATGTAAGGGCCGACCACCTCCAGTTTGTTTGTGGGACTGTCCTTCATGATGCTAGCGAAGGCTGCGTACACCGCCAAGCGGTACGCGATGACCCCAATGATGCAGGCAATGATCAATGAAATCTTCAGGACAAAAACAAAACAAACAAACAAAAACAAAACAAAACAGTGACGACACGAAAGACAACGACATGGAAAGAAACTGTGACAACACCAAATCAGCTGCAAAGGTGCAAGCAAAAAAATAAAAATAAATCTGTGCACAAAGAAAAATGGTTATTTTTTTTTCATTCAACATGCATGTGAACGAAATAAAAGAAACTGTTTGCTTACATGTAGTTTACAAACATAGGTAAACAACAAGAATGAACACTGGATCAAAACACATAAAACTATTCAGTTTAATGACTGGCTGATAGTTCAGAAACCAGTGCTGATTGGTTTTGGCTCATAAACATAACGGCTAAATTTTCACACTAAGCTGAAAAAGGGGAACACTTAGTGCAGATCTGTACATTCTGAGTGTGAGTTTATCAAAATTTCCATTTTAAAATTTCCAATCAAACCATATAAATATATAGTTATTTAAAATAAATAATTATGGTGCTGGTGAAGATTCTCAGTTATTCAGATCATGATCAATCAAAAAAAAAGTTAAAAACAAAAACAACTGGACTTTCAATTCTAAAGTTTAGAATTAAAAGTCCAGCTGTTTTTGTTTTTAACTCTTTTTTGATAGATAATTATGGTATTACTACTTTTTCTGATAAATAAGCTACCAGTGTTGTACATAAAACCTTGATATAAAAAGAATCCTGGGAAGCCTATTGGTAAAAGGGAGTATGGTAAATATAACAAGACTTTGTTGTTCACAGATGTGCCTGCTTGAAAACAGATTTTTTTTTTACTTAATTTAACAAAACATATTTTTAATAAATTGTAACTGTATAATTTAATGCAACAAAGTTTAGAAAGTAAAATATAATACTCGTTCTTCTGCATTTTGCAGTGTTTCCCCTGCCATTATTGGGTGATTTCTCCATAGTCCTGTAGAGGCAGGCCAAGTTTGTTTTCTTTAAGATCCTTCAGTCTAGCTCCATTTTCAACAATGCCAACATTTTTCCACACTGTTTATATTTAGACTAGTTAACAAGAATTACAATTAATTTATTAAAGTATTATAATGATTTTTTTAACTATCTGTATCTACGTTCAGTTTCACAAGCCCTGCTTGACTTGATGAGAAAGATTACTGAGAATGAGTGGATAAGAAGACGGTAGATGGAAGCACTTTAAACAGACTGAGTGTACCAAAGATACAATGCTCACCCACAACAGGACGGTGGCTCCAGACAGACATGAGCGTGCACACTTGCTTGTTATGGGTAAGTAAGGCTCCATTTCCTAAATCAGAAGCAAGCAAAGCATCGACAGAACGGTCAGCCATCCTTGGTTATATCCTGAAAAGAGAACTCTAGAAGGCCAAGTTTCTTTAATTACTCTGAAGCCTCACATGTGAGGCAGAAACATTTTGCCCAAATGGAACTCTCTGGTGCATTTGATTTTTATTTGTGGACAGTTTAAAGTGCCTGTGACATGCATATTCTTCAAATACAACAAGTCAAAGAAAACATCTTTATATTTAAGAAAGTTGTAATAATAACCACGATTTAACCCATTTTGTCCCATAACTGCCATATTTTCTTTTGAACTTGGCTCAGCCAAAGTGAAACAGGAAGTGACATCAAAGGGGAACTCTTTTAACAAAGAAAACTCTCTGGTCTTTTTTGGACGGGTTCTTCTCTAACGGGGAAACAAAGCAGCCACTGTTCAAAAGAATGTCCCAACACAGACGAGCTACATCTAATGGCCAGAACTCTGCAGTTTTCACTCATTTACAGGCCAGCGGTCACTCTTTCAGAGATGAGGATGTTCTCATTCTTGATAGAGAGGAACGTTGGTTTGAGAGAGGAGTAAAAGAAGCCATTTTTGTGAAGAAAGACCGTCCATCATTAAACAGAGGTGGAGGCCTCCGTTTTCAGTTGTCCCCCTCCTACAGTGCTGCTATTGCCAGTATCACTCCACCCCCTGTTAACAATAGGTGTTAATTAGGTGTCAACGATAGCCRTGTGATGTGAGTATCAGTCACATGGARGCAGTGCTYAAAAGCCTGAATTTTGCCTGAAACTCTCAGACTGAAGAAGTCTCTTGGATAAGAGACGAAACGTTTCATTAGAGAAGAACCCGTCCAGAGGACCTATACAATTTTTTTCTTTTTGATTTTTTACCTGGATTACTGAGATGCATCAGGACTCTCTGGTCTTTGTTTAATGAAACAATACTATTTGAACTCTGACTCTTTCTGATAGTGACTCAAAAAAAATCTTAAGAAATATCAGATCGTTCTCTACAGTCTGGGTTGTTGGCTCTTGTTATTACAAAAATTTGACGTCACAGGTACTTTAAGCTTTGGCAAGAAAATTTGGATCAGCAACCAGATGAACATTAAACCTGTTAAAAGGAAACTCGTGCCTCTGAGTCTTTCCAGAAATGTCTGTTATCGGTCAAAACTACACCGCAACAAAACCTCCACCTCACCAAACTGTCAGTCCATGCTGAGCATCACACTTACCCAGAACATCACTGTGACCCAGCACAGACATAATTTCCCCGCTATATCTGTTACAGTTCTGTCAAGTACCCACTCTGGTTCCTACAGATGAGTGGGACGTGGTGACGCGGAGTTGCAACAATCGGTTTCTGTTTATTTTACAAGCATGGTATTGTTTTTACTTCAGTTCTATCAGATAAACCGTTAATAATCTTTAAAAAAAAACTCCAATTAAACCTGCTTCACACAGATAATTGATAATGTAATCAAGTTCTTGTGAGAATTAAGCTGACTAAAGTATCTCACAGTAAATTAGCATATTTCATGAGTGCACAGGCACCTTAGTGATGGGGTTCAGCTTGCGGTCGTTACATTTGGTTTCATACTCTGGTCGAAGCTGCAGCTGCTGTTGTTCCTCCTCAAAGTCAAACAGGTCCCACTCGTACTCGAGGCGGGCCTGTCGTCTCTTCCAGAACTCCAGAAACAGTGTCACTGCAGGCACATTCAACCCGTAACTGTTAACATAAACCAGCTGTACAGAACAGGTATGAAGAAAATGTCTTTAAATGTTATTGGGTTTCTCATTTGTTACTTTTCAAGTCTCTGAAATTGGATGGTTTAATCACATTCCTTTAAGAAGCAAATAACAATTCATTTAAGTGCCAATTCAATCCACTAGGTGGTGCACTGTGTTTAATAACAAAAAACATCCAGAGCAGATATGTTTACTCACCCCAAATTCCCATGAAAATGGCAAAAAACACAGTTGCTACGTTGTCAAATAAATGTGATTGCTGAAAGACAAACATGTTTGAGAGGTGAGTGTACAAAAAACTTGATTTGTTAATTTATATCTGCAAGTATTCTTTAAATGTCATGTTTTGTGGGATGAACATGAGTCACAATGAGCACACATTACTCACCCACGAAGAGTTGCACGTCGTGTTGAGTTTCCAGAAGCCACATTTCTTGTCACAGAGTGGACACATGACAATATTCCCTCCAATCTGCTCGCTACATATTTCTTTACTGTAGAAAACAAAAAGGAACGTCAGTAATTCTACAACAAAAATAATCCAAAATAAAGTGTATGAAAATGGCAAGAAACTGGGCTTTTATCTTGTGCAAACTGACCTCCACTCATTGTTGTCATAGGTGAGGAATCCGTAAATGAAACAAAGTGTTCCTACGACGGCAGCGAACAGAAGCATCTCAGTGTAGAAACCAAGCCAAGCAAAATAAATGCCAATCTTCTCCCCATAATACTTTCTGTTGAAGACAGAAAAATTATGCCTTTATTCTCCAGCCTTACTGGTATGCTTCTACTGACGGCAGCTCTGGGGTCTGTGGTTTTACCTAACAAGGTCGAGAGGCTGCTCCTTGAAAAAGCAGAGGAACCGAGCCCAGTGTTTGTACAGAGTGTATCGTTCACTTTCACAGTTCGCATCTTTTGATTTTGTCCAGTATCTCGACTGAAGGCACACAGGAAATTCAATTTATTATCACATTTACTGTATCTATGCTTTCTATTCAACAATAAACAGCTTTCAGCAGGATGGTAAAAAAATAAACTACTGGAAGCTCAAAGACTTCTTAAATTCAGACAAAAAAACAGGTTGAATAAAAAAGCTCACATCGTGAAGAGGAAAGGCAGATGTGTAGGTGCCATTATTCAGCAGCCTCTTGATTCCCTTCTTGTCCGCATCTCCACATTCCTCCCTGATGTACGAGCAGCGGGACAGGATATAGTAGACCTGGTCAGACAGTTACAACAGTTTCCATTAATGAACACAAACATCTTCCATAAATGAGACTTCTTTAAAAGGTTAGTGTCCTGACAACGTTGCTGATTTTGAATTCTGAAGGTCACAAACAAGATAAAGGTAGATGCTTACTATCCTGTTGCGAGTGGAGGGAGGGAAGAACGTGTCTTTGTCCTCAATAAGGAAGAAGTCGGACTTCTCCTTGTTGAAGGGAGCCGTGAAATAATCTGGCTCCGGATGCATGATGTCCTTAGGCAGACGAAAAGGCGTGGACAGCCAGTTCATGGGGATCTCTCTGCTGTTGTCTTGTGTGTCGGCGACCTTGAATGGAACCTTGATCTTCAGCACGTTTGCATACGTGGCCAACACTTCCCACGACGCGTGGATCTTTACAAAGTAGGTCTTTCCATCCTCTGACTCCTGGTGATGAACAGAATGCACAGGTGGCATTAAAAGCTAGATTTGAGTTTGTATTTTTAGTCAAACATATCCGTAATATTATAGGGCCCTCTTACTGATTTATCTTCTGTTTCCAGCTCCAGCCCAACTTTTACCAAGTTGGATTCATACACCCTCCTCTTCTCCTTCAGAAGAAAAACAATTAAACCAAAAATAAGACAAAACGTAGAAACAGTGAGAGGAATATTTGAATGGTATGAGAAGTACAGATATAACCACATGCTGGTAAGAAAATTATACGAATAAAATTAAAAACTTACATTTGGTATCTTATTTTGCAAATAAAAAAGTCTAGAATCTATGTAAAATTAATACAGGGATGTTAACAAACAATGAGTGTTTTTATGATCAGTTATATTGTGGAGTGTGGTTAAATCCAAGTCTCATTCAGTAGATGTATTTGTAACACTCACAGCAGTAGAAACAGGTTGTGATAATCAGTTGTGATAACACAGTGGCATTATAAAAGCTACCATATGGTGCTTTGTTTTCACATTTTCAAAACAATACAATAGAAAACCCCTTTTTTGTGTCTCTGCAGGGAAAAAGAGCTCAAATGAAGATTTAAAACCTTCTTATTAGAGCTCACATTTAGTGCCATGTTTTGGAATTTTAGACTAATAACAGGAAGCGGCCTTCAACTCCCCTTTCCTCCCAGAATGATCCACTTCCTGCCTGGACCAGAGGTTTTTCTGCTGACTCACTGGTTGAAAATGAGGGCAAAGTGTGAGTCGTTCTTAGGGTCTTGGAATGCTGACACTTTGGTGTGAAGGCTAACAGCTCAATATGAAACAGAGGCTGTTGCCCATCTGACAAAATACCTGCACATATTTATTATATATGTTTCTAAAGAAAATCTTAAATCTTAAATAGTTCAGCTGAATTTATCAGTACTGTAGAATTTGATTCATGATGTGGTAAAACAACTGAGGATTCCCTGCATGAAGCAACTCTTAAATTAGAAACTCCAGACAAGGAAATAACAGTTTTTCTTTTGTGTGACCAGTCAATTTTTCAAGATAATCCAATCAGTCATGATGAATAGTCCTGTTATGTGTGTTGCTGGAAATAAAACTTTAGTTAAAAAAAACATGTAGTCAGTAAAATAAAAATCGTGTAACTTGCAGTAAAAACGCTTAGTTTCTTACCTGTTTTCTCTCATCGTCTTTATCATCGACATACGACAGGACAAAATCGATTCTGCGCACGCCATCTCTGAAGAACACAGAGTCTTTACTCTGTTGTTGTTTGTCAATCTAAAAGGAGATAAGACAGAAAGGCCAACACGTCAGCACACACTCACACAAAGGTGCCGTTTTAGCATGTCTTTAGATGCACTCACAACATAAGAACAGAGTTAAACTGGGCAGTGTTGAACACCTCCACATCACATCACACTTCATTACTCATCTTCATCTAAGATACTGATTACATTTTCACTTCACACACAAGTGGCATGCTTACAAAGCTTGCTCAAGCTCCCTTAAAATGATTTAGAAATAAAGACAGAAATGGTTTTAAATAAATCTGCCTATTCCTCAAGATGAAACAAAGAAAATCAGTAAAAGTCATCAGTCATTATTCACAAGCCTAAAGTTTCACTGGACTTCACACTATGACTTTTTTTGTCAATTCTTGCTTTCATTTCGACTAAGACCATGAATGTTTTGTTAGCAGAAATTCCAATCAGCTATGACCTGAAGAGGCTACTGGACTGACAACAACGTGCCCTGCATAAGAATGCAGTAAAGGAGGACTCGGCTTCTGTCTGTGCTGCTTCAGCTGTTCACAAAGCTAAAAATAGCTGCACCTTCATACATTTAACTGCAGCTGGTCCCAACACACACACACAAAGAAAACCAGCCACACAACTAAAACCAGCACATCTCGCTCAGTCGTCCTGCTGACAGAGTCAGCTCCGGCCATCAGCCCGGTGCTGTGCAGAAAGGAAGTGCACTTTACCTCCATAGCTCGTTTTATACTTGTGATGCATTAGCAGCAGCTAAACTAACTCTGTAAGCTGCACAGCCTGTCTCACTCTTACCCCATTGATCTTCATTCGAAGCAGCTCACTGGACTTCCCACAACACCTCCCTTGCTCAGTCATTCTACTCTTTACTGAAGAGGAGGGTTAGAGAAGCAGCATCCTGGCAAATGACATCAGGACAGGAGTAGCATGGCTGCAGCCAGCTAGCTAATCTAATAAGGGCACAGCATCAACAAAGGGAGGGAGGTAAAGCTGGTACAACATGCTGTGTCACGGTTCACATACTGAACAAATCTGCTACCCAGTCTGGCCTGATTTCTATGAATTCATTATTCAGTTCCGGTTCTGTACTGGTGTCCTAGACACAGAACCAATATAGTTCTGTTCCATACACAGGGTCCACTCATATCATATGGGGACTTTATTGTTCAGGTCTTGGTTATGAGCGTCAGAAAAACAAATGCAAATTTGTTTTAATTATATACAGATGTAATTGGACAAGGACAGCAAAATGAAAGGCAAATATACCCATCATTATATAACATCAAATGAAGACACTCTGCCAGACACATACACACACACACATTAGGGGAAAAACTATGGTCTGACAAACCACAATGAGTAAACACGTGGGCGTTGCATTTGTTCGTTGGAAATGTTAACATGTTGGTGGAATAGACTTGAAACCGCTCAGAGGTCTTTTTGTTAAAATGCTTCTGCTACAATATGAATCCCATCTGTTTTGTCATGAGACTTATGAACTGCAATTTCTGTAGGGCATTTTTTAAATCACATCATCCTATCAAATGCTTATGTTTTTGCCCATGTCTGTGTGTAAACATAGCTGTTTTTCCTGCTGTGTTAGTAAAATAACCAGCGAAAGCCCTGGACAGAATTTCATAAAACTCACAAATGTGTTCAAGACAGCTATATCACAGCTGACCTTTAACACAATCAATTTTACAATTATTGAACTAAAACTTGATGTAGTAATGGCTGAGGATCTTTCTCAGCTGATTTCACAATTTCTGTTCCTAAAACTTTGCCAAAAAGTATTGGAGTCAACTGTCTGTCTGTTGGCTAAATATGTCGCAATTTTTAAAAATACTTATTGGGTGTACAGCTACAACTGGCAGAGTTATACTCTTGAATGTTTGGTTTTGTCGTAGAATTATGCCTGGAGCAGAGAAAAAAAACAAACCGATGCTTTATGTTCTATGATCAAGCTGTCTCTGTTCTAGCAGGTACTGAACATTCACTTAATGTTACAATAATCTAAGAGTAAATTATAGAAAATAGTGATATATGATAAAAGATAGACACTGAAAAATATTTGTAATGCTGCACAATTAAACAGCTTTAAGAAACAACAAGCACACCTTCAGTTTTAAAGCTACAGTTTAATCGACACTCCTGGTTTCTGGCGTTACACCAGCTCAAAGCTGAAAACGTGCACAGGACCTCGCAACATTTATTCAGTTCTCTAATCCCAAACTACGCACAGATTTTAACCACTGGTCTGCATGACCACCCAGACCACATTTGGACCATGCTATCCCTGGCAGGGTGGGTGCTTTCTTTAACTTCGACACAGCTGCAGAAACTCTCTAATTTGCCAAAATTACAGATCAGCTGTATGGAATCGGTGCATCTGCCCGTCCATCTGCACGTTCAGTGAAACTGCGACTCATTTCTGTACATGTATTAACCACCAAACCACCGGGTGTTTCAACAAGGACAGGCCCTTTAAAATAATTAAGGAGGATAGCTTTAAAAGCAAGGTGTATCTTGAGCTGGCTTCTAATTTCAGGGAGGGGGGAAATAATTAGAAGTCAGCTTTGTGCTTCAAGTTTCACCTTCATTAACTTAACATCACACACATGTAGCTCTAATGTCACTACAGCATACTTCAAAGTTTCTTTTTTTCTCAAAGTAAGATTTGGTTGTTATCACTGCATACAAAGTCATCCTCAAATGTGATCTAAACCAGAGGTTCTCAAACTGGGGTCCCTGGACCCACAGGAGTCCGCGAGAGGTATCTTGGGGGTCCTCAAAATTTTTTACTAAAATATTAATTTGGTTTTTATTTTTAAAAATGCATGGAGAACAATAAACTAATAAAACAAACATAATAAACTCAATAAAATATATATTTCCATTACATTTAGGGGTTGAAATGACAACAAATCATCTTTTAAAACAGCATAGGTTTTATGAGGAGGTCCCTGGATTTCTTTTTTCGCTCTTGTAAGGGGTCCACAGACCCAAATGGCTTGAGAACCCCTGAGCTAAACTGTAGATTCAGTAGCTTTTTCAGCCCAAATCTGTAAATTTGCATGAAAACGGCAATGTCAGAATCTGGCATACACACAGATTTTGCAGCTGAAAAATTATAGGCATCAATGAACCAAAACCTGTACCCATTAACTATATAGAAATTTAAAAAATAAGATAGAATACAAAGTATTTGCAGAAGTCCCTGTCTAAAATGTCTTGAAAGAATTACACACTTGTGATTAGGGAGAACTATCAGAGAAGCTTCCAAGCTTTGTTAAAAATTGAGGCTTTTCATTAAAATGGGCACTCTGCTCTAACAAAACCACATACAGGAGGATTAATTAAAGCCTAGAGTGCACGTGTTTAGCTACAGAGCATTGCCATTCTGTCATGAGAACAGGGCGGCGCCTTGATTACACTATATGCACTGTACTTAGAATATAAATAGACTTAAATGCACACGCACAAACGTGTGTGTGACTCTGCATGTTTATGTAAAGGTGTTAGCCTTCTAATTATCCTGTAACACCAGCAGGCCGTCGCTCTCTCCTCACTGAAGCAAACAATCATCACAGGTGAGGAAAAATTTAAAAAGCAATTCAAAAGGCGTTTTCCACTTTCAGTGAACTCTCAGGACACATCTGAGCACACTTTCATTGCTCTTTGGAAAAACAAAAAACAAAACATGCTTTCTACAAGCCAGCATCAACTCTCTGGCAAGAAATATGAATTGATTTCTCTAATGTCCGAGCTTCATTCTCTGAATAACTAATGCCAATAGAGAAACTCGACACTGAGAGGATAAAAGCCTGGCAGGCAAACAGATAAGCTGAAAGCTGCATGACAACACAAGCCTGTTTTACCATGCCATACCCTGGAACGGTACTTCAGGAATAGCGACCGTTTTCTCGAAAGCTGTGGAGGAATCGAGTGGACAGTGAGACAGGGACGGACACCAGGAGATTTGTTCAAAACATGCCATTAAAACTATAGCAACACTCCAGATGTGAATGAATGAGTCAGTAGGTCACATTAAAAACACTTTGTAAGAAACAAGATAGGACAGACATGGTTCTAGAGACTGCATCTCTAATTTTACATGAGAGAAACCCCCACACTCACACAACAGCATGCATCTGCAGCTCTGACTGCTGTCTTACCCCAAACAGAGCACTGATCTGCTCTGAGGGTTGAGATCTGTACTGAATACAGTCGCTCAGGTCGGAGGAGTCCAGGCAGACCAGGCTGGTGTTGAGAGACTCACAGGTCTCCACACACACATCAGGTGGAGACTTTTGTGTGAAATGGAGGAAAATGCATGCCAATTAGAGCCGTGTCTAGCAGAGCCACTGCTGCTAACAAAACAAGCATCGTTAGAAGATGCTCCTTCAAATACAAATCGTAGCCCGTCTGTTTTCATGGAAAGAGAACAGAGAAAATCTAAAGAAAGTTTCCTGCTTTAGTAAACAAAGTTCAGCAGCCATGGAGGAAGATACAGGGCCAAATGTCCTGATGCATCTCAGTAATCCAGGTAGAAAAAAACAAAAAGAAAAAATAAGTAGTTCCTCTGGATGGGTTCTTCTTTGGTGAAACGTTTCGTCTCTCCTCCAAGAGACTTCTTCAGTCTGATGAGTTTCAGGTGAACTCAGTCTTAAAAGCACTGCCTCCACATGGTGGACAAACAGGTTAGTCACATGCAAAAGAGGGCCATCACCTAACAATAGGCTTGATTAGTTCTATTGTTCACAGAGGGTCATGTGCCCCATCACCTGACTTATTGGTTTGGATGCTTCTGCTGTGGTTCTTAGGTGTCGTGTCATGTGTATGTAGTGAGTGCAGGCGGGGCTCAACGTCCCCTTGTTTTTCTCTCTCTCTCCCTCTTTGTGTTGAGTATCCTTGGGGCCCTGATTCACACCTTTTGCTCACAGGGGGCTGAGTCATACTTGCAATAACAGCGTTGTAGGAGGAGGACAACTGGACACGRAGGCCTCCACCTCTGTTTGATGGTGGACAGACGAGTTACTTCGTCGGGTCAGGACTCTGCAGTTTACACTCATTTACAGGCCAGCGGTCACTCTTTCAGGGATGAAGATGTTCTCATCCTTGATAGAGAGGAACGTTGGTTTGAGAGAGGAGTAAAGGAAGCCATCTTTGTGAAAAAAAAACCCATCCACTATTAAACAGAGGTGGAGGCCTGCGTGTCCAGTTGTCCTCCTCCTACAGTACGGTTATTGCAAATATGACTCAGCCCCCTGTGAGCAAAAGGTGTAAATCAGGACCCCAGCTATAACCAACACAAAGAGGGAAAGAGAGACAAAAACAAGGGGATGTTGAACCTCACCTGCACTCACTACATACACATAACAAAACACCAAATAACCACAGCTGAAGCATCCAAACCAATAAGTCAGGTGATGGGGCACATGACCCTCTATGAACAATAGAGCTAATCAAGCCTATTGTTAGTCGATGGCCCTCTTTTGCATGTGACTAACCTGTTTGTCCACCATGTGGAGGCAGTGCTTTTAAGGCTGAGTTCACCGGAAACTCAGACTGAAGAAGTCTCTTGGAGGACAGACGAAACTTTTCACTAAAGAAGAACCCATCCAGAGGACCTACTTATTTTTTCTTTTTGATACAGGGCCAAAATTAACAGCTTTTGTGCACTCAGTGGTGGCTGTTGCGTCCTGGTAGCTTGTAGCCATCCTCGTAGTATTATGACTTTATTTTCGTAATTTAAAAAAAAATCTTATTTGGCCCTAATACTCCATTGTATTCTTGATTAAGTTTTTTTTAATGTATGCATCTAATCCAGTGGGTGACCAGCCTAGCCTAGCCTCTTCACTGCTAACACATATGAGTAGTCTCCTTCGGTTTCTCGGTTACCTGTGCAGGCCTATCAATAAACAGATTAGTAGCTGTTTTTGGAGAAGTTTTAGCCTCCTGCTACAAGGATGCAGCTACGGCTGGTTGTGCAACACTCCTTATTTTGGCCTAATACCGCGCCGTAGAATGAAGGATGGAGGTGTGGACAAAGTACTGTCAAACTCAAACTTCTTCAAAAGGATGAATTTTATTTCAGATATTTAAACACTTTGTATAACTCCAATTAAAATGTATGTACCCTACAGACTACAGTGTCAAGAATATATCAGTATTATAAGTTATGAAAATTGTTACATAATGCAAAAATGAGCTGCTTTGTGGAAACGTCATGATAACGATGATTGAGTGCAGTTTTGTGGTGAGTGGTGCTTACCACAGACGGTCCCTGGGATCCTGTTCTTGATGAGGCACGTTGGTCATAACCATTCATATCATCTGCAAGACATTAAGATAAAAAAACACAACAAGTTAGGGTCTAAGCTGCGGACAGAATGATTTAACGACCCACATTTTAAAAAAATGCCACCAAACAGGCAATTTGGTGGCAGTAAGGTTTCAGGCAAACGAGCAGCTGCTCGAGTCAAACAGCGACGAGCCGGCAGCCAGTGTTGTGGTCTATATTTGTACAGCATGTTGTGGCAGCGGTCGCTAGTGCATACCGGCTGACTTAACCAGACCCTTCTGACAGAAAATAGACAGTCATGTTGCTGCAGTTCAACCACTACAAGAGTGACTCCAGGAAACAAGAATGAAAAACCGGGTAAACCTCCTAAATGTGATTAAATATAGAAGCAACTTTTGTAACAGACTTACAATAAAGTTTTAGTTTCACTGTCCGTTTATGGCCTTTGAAATGCCAATCTAAATTTCCAGGGTAGGACATTAAAAACAAGATTTCCATAAACAAATGGAGATGCAGACTGAAGAACAAACATGGCCGGTACCGATGTCGCTGAACAAAAATAAAAGGTTTCAGCCTTGACGTCTGTGTTTTGAAATGAAACTTAAAACAGTCCTAACTGATAGTTTCTGGGGTTATATTTAGTCTGAGCTCACACAAAACATGCATGCCCAGAGCCGAAATGAGCAAACCATTTGACTTGGTGGGTTAAAAGGAAAAGAATGATGATTGCTTTTTTTCACTGAAACATTTCATTAAAAACACAGCACTGCCTGTGATGCAGCTTTCATTTTGTTGTTTGAGCTAACTGTTAAAATTGAACCTCATGTTTCACTGTGTGCTTTTTAACAGAAATATTTAAAGTTATAGCAAATAGAAGGTGTTTGGGGGGCACTGAACTTGTATGGTACGACAGTAAAATATATGTTCATGAAGAGCTAAGTGAAGTTAAACTGGTCATCAGATGAAGTATGGGAGGTTTTGAAAGGACTTCTGTAAACCTTTTAATTTGCTGTAACCAGCGGTGGATTTAGACAATAAACTGTATATACTGTATTATAGACCAAGTGTCCCAACTTACTGTTGTTGTTGCTGAAAGTTGAAGCCAGCAGGATCCAGTTGATGGGAGTTACCATGTAATACTGTATTTTTGGGCTTTAAATACTAGCTACTTTCCCGCACACAATCATGCTGTTCCAAGACCTTTCTTTTTTAAGCATGAGATAATTAATTTTTGAAACATGGTAAATGTGTATCAACAATAAACACTTTAAAAAAAGAACTGCTGTGTATTTTTACTTTTTTACCAGGGACAATGTTTAATTTGTTTACATGAAAGAGGCGGGACTTAAAACTTGTGCCAAATCAGTCTGCAGGGAAGCTGGTCTGGTTCCATTCCAGCAGATCAGGGTATAAACGTAGCATCCTTGCATCTGTTGCTTCTTATGATCACACATAATTAAAGCAAAGGATTTCCCAGTTCAAAAGGAGTTTGTGATGACACAGACAAAACATCTTAGTGTCTTTGATGTCCTGATCTATTCCCATGTACAACCACAAGGACAAGTAACTAATCTTAGTTACCAACAAGCAGACTTCCAACAATCATAATTACACAATGTACTTTACTTCAAATACAAGTTAAAAACAAATGTTTTCATGTTAAACGTTTACAATATTTTTTCACAACTTCTTGTGTTTTTTTTATTTTAAAAGACAAAATCATATCTTTGACTTGATGAACTTAATCTGACTTTGAAACAGCTGAGCATATTTGGTCACAGTTGGGTGCTTTATTGGATGCAATACAAGCCAACTAGTTATGCCAAGAGTTTTCCGCACTAAGCAGGCTCCACAGAGAAAGCTTTGTTCAAGAGTGAGCAGCTGATCATTGCGGGTATATTCTGTCTCTTTTTTTAAGAGAATCACTGTGAAGTGAATTACTAATAAACACAAGCAATTTAATGATTCAAATGCAGTCATTTTAAAACCCAGCTAAGCAGAATCTGAAAACAGTGCAAACCAAAACATCTGATTTGTTGAGGTACAGTATAATCGACCAAGCTAGCTGCAGTTCCTTATGTTTTCTACAGATTTACAGAAACTAAAACCCATAGATGTAATGTTTTACAACTCCAAAAAATAGATTTTAAAGGTTTTGCTTTCTTTTTGGTGGATTGGTCTGATTTCCTAAAGCGGGAAGCTTGTGGTCACTGGTTGTGAGTTGCAAGTTCCTGACACACCAACTGAGCCTGTGACACAATGCTGGAGTTGTTTAAAACAAGTGTGATCACTAATGTAAACACAAGAAATAACCCATCTTTTTCTACAAATAAGAAGATGATCTGAGTTTAAAGTATACTTCCGTTTGTCTAAAAGGAAACTTATGTTAAAATAAATTACCATTTTATCTATTGTTGTGGTGGTGGGGTGGTTATGTGGTGGTGCTTTAAAGTGGAAAATATGACCTCTATTGTTATCTTGAAACTCCTAAATCCTTGAAACGTAAGAACACTTCCTAACCTTGCAGAAATCACTCAGACTTTCAAGTCTCTTCCATACCACAACACTGTATAAAGCTCTTGCTGTAGCAGATGAAACTCTACACTTTATACCCCGATTCATACGGCTTTCAGTTGTTACAGACTGGAGCATCCGGGAGTGATTCAGCACCACACATTTCTTAGCCATAAATGGCCCGAGCACAACCATCTGTGTGAATGTTTGCTTGAAATCCCCGCTCAGCTAGGAGCAGAGAGGGATTTGGGGTTTGTTGCGGTGGATAAAGTGACTGTCTGTAGGTGACAGAGTGTTTCCAGCAGGCAGGCCAGCTGCTGAAAGCCTGGCTGCCTGTAAATCACTGCTTCTGCTGCCTCCATGGAGAGGAAGGGAAACTATGAGCTGGTTAGGGCATTCACGATGACATAAACAGGCTGGGTGTGTTTTTTTTTTTTAAGTTACTAATGGTGTTAATATTCAGATGATGCAGCCGAGTAAATACTGCATTAATTCCAACATGTCATTATATCTATTTTGGGCTGAATGAAGTAATCATTGAAGCATTTCCTTTAATTTTCTCTCTTTTTTTAGTTTATGTTTTAGCAATACATGTAGCATTTGATAAGTAACAAAGAAACAAAATAAATACTTTTTGTTTGTTTTAAAATGGTAGCAATATTTTTGGATGATTGTAAATCAATAAATGACAAAATACGAAACCTAAATCAAGATTTTGGCATTGATTCTGTTGATTTTGTTTGTCTAATTTGCCTGTATTATAACCAGTCATGAAGATTTTAATGTTTAAGTACTTTTAGCAACAGGAAAGTCTATAAATTGTCATTTTCAAACATAACCATCATAATGTGAATGTTCACTATTTAATTACAGTGGAAAAAACTTCTAAAGCTTGTCGCTGAAATTATGATTTTGTCTTCATGTAACTTCGTTTCATATAAAAGGGTGGTACATTTAACACATTATAGCACAGATAGTCCTTTGCACAGCACGACATAACTTAAAAGTGCTTTTTTGCCAGATTGACACATTTTTATCTTGAAATGTTTGTGTTGCAGTTGACAGTAAATAAACTTCTGAGGGTTGAAGCAGAACTTACATGAGGGAATATTCAAGCTTTGGCACAGTTTATTTTAAATGCCATGTTGCTCAATGGAAAAAGACAACTGCTGCTGGTGCTTTCTGTCTGCTACTCACCGCTGAAAGAGTCCGTCGGGCTCATCTCAATCAAACTGTCCCCTCCCGCTTTCCCCGTTATTCGGTGCATTTTAGGACCGTCGTGTGGCCAAACAGTGGCCGCTTGCCTCCGTCGACACCTACGGAAGTATCCTGTGCCGGGTTAAATGCTGTTTCGTACTCCCACAGTCAGTAAGTTCAACTCCAAACCGCCTCTGCTTCGCCCTCGTCCCTCCCAGGCAGCAGCCAGCCAAGCAGCTGAGTCGACAAGCTGTCCTGTTTACTGACCGCTCACTGCTGCCTCTCCTCGGCCCTCAGTGCACAGAGAGGTGGAGGTATGAGGGGAGGGTCCACACCACAAGCCAATAGCCTGACACTTCACTGGGGCAGAAAAAACACATGCAAACAACCCCGGAAAACAATACAAGAAGATTGACCTAAAAATCCAATGAGATACATTTAAAAATCTGACTCATCATCATCATCATCATCATCATCATCATCATCATCATCGTCATCATCATCATCATCATCATCAATCATCAATCATCATCATGACACGAGATAGAGTTTTTTTCCAATGTTTTTTTTTTGCCAATTATATGTTAAAACGAACAAAATAAAACAATAATTTTACATGGAAACATACTGTATGTTGATATCTTAGAAGCAAAGTTCTTGGAAAGCTAGCTCAAGCTGACTCTGTGTGCCATTGTCATGACAACGAAAAGACTACAAAGCACTGGAGTCAGGCCATCAGTCTGCAGTTGTGTGACTTTCATTTTATTCTGGTTATCTTCTTTGTATTGTTGTCCTTTTGTTTTGGAGCCTACTGTGCTAAAGGAGAAAAAGAGCCTTGAAGTCAGGAAACAAGGAGGAGCTGAGAAGGAAGATCAGGGATGAAATAAAAATTACAGGAAGAAGATGGAGGATCAGCTGCAGGAGGGTAACACCAGTGGAGAAGCTTTAAAAACATTTCAGGCCATAAGACAAGCTCCCAGGCTGCAGGAGACTTCAAAAGATACTGTATGAACAGGTACCCCCCCACACACCCCCACCCCCGTCAGCCCCTCCACCTTTAACAAACTTCTCAGATCAGAGTTTCGCACCCAGCAGCTCTCCACCATCAGCCTCATCCTTCACCCCACTCCCTTCTGAGGCCTGCTTCACACAGCACACCCCACCCCACTGGCTCAGAACACCTCGCAGCTCTCAGCCACTAAGCACCCCCTCCGTTTTGAGGACTCCAGCCAACAGTCTCCCTCCCCCACCTCCATCTTGTCCCTTTCATCTCTCCAGGTTAGAAATGAGCTGCGTAAGATCAAGGTGTGGAAGGATGCAGGTCCAGAGGGAATCAGCTCCAGGCTCCTGAGGTGCTGTGCAGATCAACTGTGTGGCATCATGGGAACTATGGTCAATCTGAGCCTGAAGCTGGGGATTGTACCATGTGTAAGATCTCATGTGCGGTACTGGTACCTAAGACTAAACACCCAAAGGACCTCAGCAGCTACAGGCCGGTAGCCCTGACATCGCATCTGATGAAGATCCTGGAGAGGCTGGTCCTCATCCACCTACACCACCAGGTGAGGTGTTCATTGGTTCCGCTGCAGTTTGGCTACCAGCCTGGCATCAGGGTGGATGACACCATCACCCACCTCCAGCACCGAGCTCTGACTCACCTGGAGAAGCCTGGAAGCACTGTAGGATCATGTTCTTTGATTTCTTCAGTGCTTTCAACACCATCCAGCCAGGACTACTGAGGGACAAGCTGGAGCTGTCTGGAGTGGACCACCATATGTCCCAGTGGATTCTGGACTACCTCACGGACCGCCCTCAGAATGTGAGGACACAGGGCTGTGTCTCAGACACGCTGGTACTGGGGATCCTCAGGGAACAGTGCTGGCACCGTTCGTCTACACTGCAGACTTCACCATCAACACCGCCACCTCCAGAAGTTCTCTGATGACTCTGCCATAGTTGGTCTCATCACAGGCGAGGAGGACGACTCAGAATAAAGACAGTGGACTCAGGACTTTGTGGACTGGTGCCAGCAGAACCACCTCCTGATCAATATTGCTAAAACCAAGGAGCTGGTGGTGGATTTCCACAGGCACAGACTCACCCCAACTGACAACAATGAACATCCAGGGAGTGGACGTTGAGATAGTGGACTCTTACAAGTACCTGGGTGTTCACCTGAACAATAAACTGGACTGGACTCACAATACAGATGCTCTTTACAGGAAGGGTCAGAGCAGACTCTACCTGCTGAGGAGGCTGAGGTCTTTAGGAGCGCTCCCTGCACTCCTAAAGACCTTCTTTGACACAGTTGTGGCTTCAGCCATCTCTTATGGCATCGTTTGGTGGAGCGGCAGCTTATCTGCAGCACAGAGGAAGCAGTTAGATAAGCTCATCAAGAAGGCCAGTTCTGTGCTGGGATGCTCCCTCAACCCAGTGCAGGTGGTGGGAGACAGAAGGACTCTGGCAAAAACAGCATCAATGACAGAGAACGTCTCCCACCCAATGCACGGAACTGTGGCTGATCTGCAGAGCTCCTTCAGTGACAGACTGCTGCTTCCTAAATGCACAAAGGAGCGTTACCGCAGATCATTCCTCCCGTCAGCTGTTAGACTCTATAACCATCAGTTGTTAGACTCTATAACGACTCTATAACCATCACTGCTCGCAACAATCATGATAAGCATCCATGTTTGTGTTTGCACATCAAACAACTCTACTTCTCAATCATTACATAAATAATACCCTGTGACTATTGTACATCGTTTTTCCTGTACTGGAACACTGACTTAATGACTGAGTTTGAATCAATTTGCACATCCCTGAGTTCAACACATTTTGCACACCCCCTCGGATCATGAGTCTGTCATGACCGTTTTTTCATGTAATTTTGTATTTTCAGCACAGTATATTGCTTTTATTATCCTTTTTAGCTAATTTCATCTTGATAGTCCGGTACAGTAATTCGTACAGTAATTCTTACTCTTATTTTTATTTTGATCTATGTTTATCTTTATTGTTACCATCTTTATTATTGATACACTTGATAATGTCACATGGCAATATACTGTTTCTGTGGATTGATGTATGGTATCTGCTGCTTCTACATCCTGAATTTCCCAGCATGGGACAATGAAGGCTGTTTCTATTCTATTCTATTCTATTCTATTCTATTCTATTCTATTCTATTCTATTCTATTCTATTCTATTCTATTCTATTCTATTCTATTCTATTCTATTCTATTCTATTCTATTCTATTCTATTCTATTCTATTCTAACATTTTAAAATAATGCAGATTATCAACAATCCTGGCTCTTCTTTGCCATTTGTTTTTTCATGAAATAACTATAATTGGTGAAAGGTGTGGACTGCAAGCAAGACAATTCAGCACCTGGACTCTTCTACTACCAAGCCATGTTGTTGAAAAGAAACGTGTACAATAAGAACTCCAGTCAGGCGCAGGATACCAGTCCAGTACTCAGCCTTGAATGTTTATTTTCAGACATACAAAGTTTATGACATTACAGCACTGTGGTCCATCCTGACCCTACCCTTCCGCCTAAGAGATCCAGACAAAATAGCCCTGCATCACGTGTTCGAACAATGTTTATAGAAAATCTGGTCGCATCCCAGATATGATATAAAACAAGGTAGAACGTTCTAAAAACTAACATTAAAACTAAATAGACTTGTTGATTATCTTATTATTTAAAATACCTGATTACAAATTATAAATGTAAATAAAATATAAGAATGTATGTATTTAGTTAATCAGTCACAAATGATCTTACACAGTAATGGATGCGGTGTGTGGTTTAGCTTTGACTTGCTGAAATATGCAAAGCTTTTCCTGAAAAGTAGTTAATGTTCTATAACGTGTTTATGCAATTCTGTACTGATGGTGTTTTTCCTAAACCTATGCCATAGACATTAATGCACCCCTATACCATCAGAGAGGCAGTTAGAAAACACTCTTTGTACAGAGGAAATGGCGCTTGTAGTTTCCAGTAAGAGTTTCACATTTCAAATTGCCTGACCACAGAAGAGTTTTCCATTTGGCCTCAGACCATTTAAAATAAGCTTTAGTCCAGAGAACAGAGTGTTTTTTCTGAACAGTGTTCACATATGCTTTCTTCTTTGCACAATAAAGCTTTAACCAGCATTTGTAGATAGTATAGACAATGATTGTGGAAGTGTTCCTGAGCTTATGTGGTGATGTTCAGAACAGTCAGACCTGTTTTTATTGCTGTGACCCCTGAGGGCCCAAAGATCACAGACATCCAATTCAGACTTTCAGCTTTGAGCTCAGAGATGGCTCCAGATTCCTGAAATAGTTTGATGATATTATGAACTCTGGATGAGATTTTCAAAGTTTTTCCAATTTTACATTGAGAAACTTTTATGAGTAGAGTTTGCATGTTCTCTCCATGCATGCATGGGTTTTCTCCAGGTACTCCAGTTTCCTCCCACTGACCAAAAACATGACTGTTAGGCTGAATGATGTATTAATTATTTGTGGTTATCTTGACAAATATTTTGTTTTCCAACCATCTAGAGGCTTTTTGTATATTTGTTAAAGGTTTTATTTGTAATGTGTAAAATGGACTGAGTTCACAGCTTTATGAGTAAGTCCATCCATCTATTTTATACACCCGCTTCTTCCTTTCAGGGTCACTGGTGCCCACATCCAGCAGTCACAGTGCGGGGGGTGGGGTACACCCTGGACAGGTTGCAAGTCCATCACAGATTTTTTTTATGTGCAAGCCATTACATCATATTTGGGTGTGGTGGTGGTGGTGGTGGTATCTTCTCAATTTTCTCAGGTCTTCTCAGTTGAACACCAGGTTAACCCTTTAAAAAGTACATTTATGACAAAATAATGAATGATGCTATTGGGTCCACACTGAACCGATTTCTGACATTGTACGAACGAGAAAACTACAATGTTTTACTTTGTAATTTGCCTTTATACCTCGTGAGACCTTAGATACTTAATTTGTTTTAATTTGTTTAACAAAACATTCAGAGTAAACTTCAAGGAACAGAAAAACAATAAAAAAATTCGACCCAAATTTTGGACTGAACAAATGATCCATGAGGCAGGATGTTTAGTTCAGTGGTTTGTTTCACTTTTGATCAGAACAATCGTTGGTATCTCTTCCCAGGCAAAGAAAGTGCTGAGTTTCTATTCTTCTCTGGCAGAGAGATCTGGAACAAAGTCTCTCTCACAGCTCATCCGCTGGTCTTCCCAGCCACCTCCCTGCTCCACTCTGGTCATATTTAGCAGCAGCGGCCTCCTCTGTCA